GCATTAAAGATACATACTTCGCCGGGCGCGGTGGCTCAAGCCTGTAATCCCAGCACTTTCGGAGGCCGAGGCGGGTGGATCACAAGGTCGAGAGATCGAGACCAACCTGGTCAACATGGTGAAACCCGTCTCTACTAAAAATACTAAAAATTAGCTGGGCATGGTGGCACGTGCCTGTAATCCCAGCTACTCTGGAGGCTGAGGCAGGAGAATTGCCTGAACCCAGGAGGCGGAGGTTGCGGTGAGCCGAGATCGTGCCATTGCACTCCAGCCTGGGCAACAAGAGCGAAACTCCGTCTCAAAAAAAAAAAAAAAAAAAAGATACATACTTCAAAATAATGAGTTATCTATGACAAACCCAAAGCCAACATACTAAATTGACACAAGGTGGAAGCATTCCTTCTTGAAAACTGGCACAAAAAAAAAAGAAAAGAAAAAAAAAAAAAAGAAAACTGGCACAAGACGAGGACACTTTTCCTCATCACTCCTATGCAACATAAAATTGGAAGTGCTGGCCAGAGAATCAGGCAAGAGAATAAAATAAAATGCATGCAAACAGAAAGGGAGAAAATCAAGCTATCCCTGTTTTCAGATGACATTATTCTATATATAGAAAGCCTTATACTCTTGGCAGAAATGCTCTCTAATCTGACAAAAAACTTCGCAAAGTTCCAATATATAAAAAAAAAGGTACAGAAATTGAGTAGAACTTCTGCCCATCACATCCAAGCCAAAAGACAAATCAAAAACACAATTCCAGGGCGAGGCATGGTGGCTCATGCCTGCAATCCCAGCATTTAGGGAGGCCGAGGTGGGCAGATCACCTGAGGTTGGAAATTCGAGACCAGCCTGACCAACATGAGAAACCCTGTCTCAAAACATTAGCTGGGGGTAGTGGTACAGGCCTGTAATCCCAGGTACTCAGGAGGCTGAGGCAGGAGAATGGCTTGAACCTGGGATGCGGAGGTTGCAGTAAGCCAAGATTGCACCATTACACTCCAGCCTGGGCAACAAGGGCAAAAACTCTGTCTAAAAAAAAAAAAAACAACAAAAAAAAACACTCACAAATGCCACAAAAAGAATAAAGTATCTAGGAATACAGCTAACCAGGGAGGTGAAAAATCTCTACAACAATTACAAACCACTACTCAAAGAAGTCAGTGATGATAGCTGGGCACACTGGCTCACGCCTGTAATCCCAGCACTTTGGAAGGCTGAGGTGGGCAGATCACCTGACGTCAGGAGTTTGACACCAGCCTGACCAACATGGTGAAACACCATCTCTATTAAAAAAAAAAAAAAAAAAAAAGTCAGTGATGACACAAACAAATACAAAACTATTTCACGATCATAAACAGACAAGATCAATATCATTAAAATGGCCATACCAGCCAGGTACTATGGCTCATGCCTGTAATCCTAGAACTATGGAAGGCGGAGGAAGGCAGACTGCCTGAGCTCAGGAGTTTGAGACCAGTCAGGGCAACATAAACCCAATTCTACAAAAATACTAAAAGAAAAATTAGGTGGACATGGTGGTGTGAGTCTGTAGTCCCAGGTACCTGGGGGCCTGAAGTAAGAGGCCATGTTTGATTCCAAAATGTTGGGGCTGAAGTGAGGAAGATCACACCACTGTACTCCAGCCTGGGAAAGGAGCGAAATGAAACACCGTCTCAAAAAAAAAAAAAAAAAAAGGCCGGGCGCGGTGGCTCAAGCCTGTAATCGCAGCACTTTGTGAGGCCGAGGCGGGTGGATCACGAGGTCGAGAAATCAAGACCATCCTGGCATGGTGAAACCCCGTCTCTACTAAAAATACAAAAAATTAGCTGGGCATGGTGGCGCGTGCCTGTAATCCCAGCTACTCAGGAGGCTGAGGCAGGAGAATTGCCTGAACCCAGGAGGCGGAGGTTGCGGTGAGCCGAGATCGCGCCATTGCACTCCAGCCTGGGTAACAAGAGCGAAACTCCCTCTCATTAAAAAAAAAAAAAAAAAAAAAAAAAATTAGCTGGGCATGGTGGCACGTGCCTGTAATCCCAGTTACTCAGGAGGCTGAGGCAGGAGAATTGCTTGAACCCAGGAGGCGGAGGTTGCGGTGAGCCGAGATCGTGCCATTGCACTCCAGCCGGGGTAACAAGAGCGAAACTCCGTCTCAAAAAAAAAAAAAAAAAAAAAAAAAAAAGGCCAGAGCAGAGGCTCAGGCCTGTAATCCCAGCACTTTGGGAGGCAGAGGCGGAGGTGGGGTGGGCAGATCACCTGAGGTTGGGAGTTCAAGACCAGCCTAATCAACCTGGAGAAACTCCGACTCTACTAAAAAAATACAAAATTAGCCTTTAGTCACAGCTACTCGGAGGGAAGCTGAGGCAGGAAAATCGCTTGAACCTGGGAGGTGGTGGTTGCGGTGAGCCGAGATCGTGCCATTGCACTCCAGCCTGGGCAACAAGAGTGAAACACTGACTCAAAAAAAAGAAAAGAAAAGAAAAGAAAAGAAAATTAGCATAGTGTGGTGGCAGGCACCTGTAATCCCAGCTACACAGGAGGCTAAGAGGCAGGAGAAATGCTTGAACCAGGGAGGCAGAGGTTGCAGTGAGCCAAGATCGTGCTACTGCACTCCAGCTTGGACGTCAGTGCACGACTCCGTCTCAAAAAGAAAAAGAAAAAAAAACGGAAAGAGAAAGAAAGAAGCGGTGTGGGGAGGAGGGAGAGGAGGGAGGGGAGGGAGGGGGAGAGAGGGAGAAAGGGAGAGAAGGAGGGGGGAGGGGGGAGAGAAAGAGAGAGAGAGAGAGAGAGAGAGAGAGAGAGAGAGAGAGACAGACGGACAGAGACAGAGACAGCAAGGCACTACATAACTGTACCTAAGCAATTAATTTGGATTTTTGCATCGCGTACCTATAAATCTTTAAAGTCCATCTCATGAACAAAAAACAACCCATAGGGGTGCTCTCCAATTTTTGAACCATTCTTTGATCAAATTGTTTTAATACTTTTGCGGAAACTGCCATAATTTTGTTTGTTTTGTTTTTTTGAGATGGAGTCTTACTCTGCCGCCCAAGCTGGAGTGCAGTGGGGCAATCTCGGCTCACTGCAACCTCCCCCTCCTGGGTTCAAGCGATTCTCCTGCCTCAGCCTTCTAAATAGCTGGGATTACAGGCCTACTTCACTAAGCCCGACTAATTTTTATTTATTTTTTGAGATGGAATTTCTCTTATTGCCCAGGCTTGAGTGCAATGAATGGTTCCATCTCAGCTCACAGCAACCTCTGCCTCCCTTATTCAACCAATTCTCCTGCCTCTGCCTCCTGAGTAGCTCGGATTATAGGCGCTATGCCAGGCTATTTATTATTATTTTGGTGATTATTTTGGCAATTTATTATTATTATTATTATTATTATTATTATTATTTTGAGACAGTGTCTCGCTCTGTCGCCCAGGCTGTACTGCAACGGCGCCAACTCGGCTCACTGCAACTTCCGCCTCCCAGGTTCAAGCGATTCTCCTGCGAGTATCTGGGATTACAGGCATGTGCCACTACGCCAGGCTACTTATCATTATTATTTAATTATTATTATTATTTTTTGAAACAGAGTCTCGCTCTGCCGCACAGGCTGGACTCCAATGGTTGCATCTCGGCTCACTGCAACTTCTGCCTCCTAGGTTCAAGCTATTCTCCTGCCTTGTGAGTAGCTGCCATTACAGGCGCGCGCCACCATACCCAGCTTTTTTGTATTTTTAGTAGAGACGGGGTTTCGCCATGTTGATCAGGCAGGTCTCCAACTCCTGACCTTGTGATCCACCCGCCTCGACCTCCCAAAGTGCTAGGATTACAGGCGCGAGCCACCTCGCCCGGTTTTTTGTTTTTTTTTTTTGAGACAGAGTTTTACTCTTGTTACCCAGGCTGGAGTGTGATGGCGTGATGTCCGCTCACCGCAACCTCCTCCTCCCGGGTTCAAGCGATTCTCCTGCCTCAGACTCCCAAGGAACTGGGATTATAGGCAGGCGCCACCACACTCGACTAATTTCCTATTTTTAGTAGAGGCAGGGTTTCTCCGGGTTGGTCAGATCGGCCTGGAACTCCTGACCTCAAGTGATCTACCTGCTTTGGCCTCTCAAAGTGCTGGGATTACAGGCATGAGTCACCGTGCCCGGCCATTTTTGTATCTTTTTTTTTTTTTTTTTTTTGAGACGGAGTTTCGCTCTTGTTACCCAGGCTGGAGTGCAATGGCGCGATCTCGGCTCACCGCAACCTCCGCCTCCTGGGTTCAAGCAATTCTCCTGCCTCAGCCTCCTGAGTAGCTGGGATTACAGGCACACGCCACCATGCCCAGCTAATTTTTTGTATTTTTAGTAGAGACGGGGTTTCACCATGTTGACCAGGATGGTCTCGATCTCTTGACCTCGTGATCCACCCGCCTCGGCCTCCCAAAGTGCTGGGATTACAGGCTTGAGCCACCGCGCCCGGCCATTTTTGTATCTTTAGTAGAGCTGGAGTTCCGCCATGTTGGCCAGGTGGGTCTCGAACTCCTGGCCTCGGGTGATCCGCCCGCTTTGGTCTCTCAAAGTGCTGGGATTACAAGAGTGAGCCACTGCGCCCGGCCCGCCGTACATTTTTAATAGGAGAGAAGACGAACTTGAAAGGCGGCGGCCTAAAGCTCTTCCCCTTCATGAACTCGCACCCGGATTCACAATTCTCCCCTGAAGACCCTCCCGTGGTTCCTGTACAATCTGAGAGAGGGGCAGCGCTGCGGGTGCAGAGCTGCCCAGAGAGGGCTCCAGGACAGGGCACAGTCACTGCGCAGGGAAGAGACAGGACGCCCGGGGACCCGGCTGTCAGCGCAGCCGCCATCTTACGGCTGAAGGGGACTGAGGACGAGCTGGGCAAGGAGAACTCGGGGCGCAGATTGTGGAGCTGACTGCGGGGAGGCCTGAGTCCGCCACGGCCACTTCCCACCGGTGTTTCAACCAGTCCCTCCCTCTCTCTCTGGATGTCGGACCCGGCACTCTCACCATTTCTAGGCTTCCAGGGGGTCCTGGCGTCTTAGCTGTGGATCTCTCAAAACCTGTAGGTCACCGGGCCTCAGAGGATAGGCCTCTAGGAGCAGAGGACACAGAGAAGTGAAGACGAAACCTGAAGCTCCGGCTGCGGCAAGAGACAAAGGCCCCGCCAAATTCCGGAAGCCGCCCTGTCCGCTCCAGCTGCGTGTCTCATTGGACGATTCCAAGCTTACCGTCTCTGATTGGAAAACGTCTAAGGCCCCGCCCCTTCAGGCCTTGAGTGACAGATGATGTGACCAAATGCTGGGCGGAATGAAGAAAGAGTGACAGCCTAAGCTGCAGCGTTTTCATGCAGCGTTTGCTTCCTGAGCTGAGCCAGGCCCACCCCAGAAGGTATTTGCATTTAAACTCGTGTATAAGGTCTCATGTATTTATAAATAATACACTATATGGCTATTTACAAATGAAAAATGTATAATAACAATTATTTTTAAATTTCAGCTTTTATGATCTTCCTGGCTTCCAGCATTTGAACAAGCAGCCTGACGTTTCAAAAAGGAGGCAATCCTCTGAAATAAAATATAAGCCACATCTGAATTTTAAATTTCCTAGTGGCCAAACTTTAGAAAGAAACAGGAAAAAGGTGGATTTGATTGTAACAATTTAATTTACCCAATATATCCAAAATATTATTTTAATATGTGAGCAAAATATTTTTAATGAAATATATATATATAACTAAATCTTTGAAACTAACTCTGTATTTTACCTAACATATCGCAGTTTAGACCAGACACTCAGTAGCCACACATCACCAATAACCGCCACGTTGAAGTGCAGCTCAGATGTCAGCAGAGTGAAGGCCCTGAACAGCTTTTTTCTGCAGTGGTGGGAGAAAGCCTCTTCTTACCAACATATCTCTTCAGTTCCGAGGGTGGAATAGATAGTAGCCATAGAAAGAGCAGAAGGCAGCAAGAATAAAATAACCACACCTAGACCACTACTGGCCATCTGTTCCCCACGTTCCTTCCAGAGATTAGACAGTGAACAAAAAGTGATGGGGCGACAGGAGAAGAAAACTCTGTGTCTTCAGATCTGTCCAGAGTCTTGACTTCTAATGCTTAGGTATGAAGAAAATAGATTCAAGGCAAACTTGAAATGGTCAGGCTGTGGTTATCTGTTTTCCTTTGTGGTTTGGGGGAGTGTGTAAGCATTAGTACAAGTCACATGCGTAAATGTCTACATGTATTTCTGCATTACTCAGCATTATCTTACAAGGCAACTTTATTGTTTTGTTGTTATTGTTTTGTTTTTGAGACGGAGTTTCACTCTTGTTGCCCAGGCTGGAGTGCAATGGCGTGATTTCGGCTGACCACAACTTCTGCCTCCCAGGCTCAAGCGATTCTTCTGCCTCAGCCTCCCCAGCACATGTGCCACCATGCCCAGCTAATTTTGTATTTTTAGTAGAGATGGGGTTTCTCCATGTTAGGCTGGTCTCGAACTCCTGATCTCAGGCGATCCACCTGCTTCAGCCTCCCAAAGTGCTGGGATTACAAGCATGAGCCATCTCCCCCTGCCACAAGACAAGGTTAAATCAAAAATAAAGAACTACCAGCTTTATCAACATGACTAAACTCTGTCTCTACTAAAAATACAAAAAAAATTAGCAGGGTGTAGTAGCAGGCGCCTGTAATCCCAACTACTCGGGAGGCTGAGGCAGGAAACTTGCTTGAACCCAGGAGGCAGAGGTTGCAGTGAGCCGAGATTGTGTCACTGTGCTATAGCCTGGGCAACAAGAGCAAGACTCCAACTCAAAAAAAAAAAAAAAAAAAAAAAAATTAGAGGCCAGGCATGGTGGCTCACACCTGTAATCCCAGCACTTTCAGAGGCTGAGGCAGGCAGATGATGAGTCAGGAAATCAAGACCATTCTAGCCAACAGAGTGAAACCCCATCTCTACTAAAAATACAAAAATTATCTGGGCATGGTGGCAGGTGCCTGTAATCCCAGCTACTCACGAGGCTGAAGCAGGAGAATCGCTTGAACCAGGGAGTTGGAGGTTGTAGTGAGTCGAGATGGTGCTACTACACTCCAGCCTGGTGACAGAGCTAGATTCCATCTCACAAATAAAAAATAAAAAATTAAAGCCGGGCGCGGTGGCTCAAGACTGTAATCCCAGCACTTTGGGAGGCCGAGGCGGGTCGATCACAAGGTCGAGAGATCGAGACCAACCTGGTCAACATGGTGAAACCCCGTCTCTACTAAAAATACAAAAAAATTAGCTGGGCATGGTGGCGCGTGCCTGTAATCCCAGCTACTCGGGAGGCTGAGGCAGGAGAATTGCCTGAACCCAGGAGGCGGAGGTTGCGGTGAGCCGAGATCGCGCCATTGCACTCCAGCCTGGGTAACAAGAGCGAAACACTACGTCTCAAAAATAAAAAATAAAAAAATAATAATAAAAATAAAAAGATAAAAAATTAGTACCTTCAAGGTGCCCACTGTTAGAAGGTAACAGGCAATTAACCTGTCATAATATCCTGGCATTTTATCTACACTGGGTGCATGCATTAGTTAGTTAGCTATTGAGGCATAGCAAACCATCCAAAATTTATTAGGTCATAATTGAGATGGTTACCCATTTATGCTGCACTCAGGGGGCCATTTTTCTGGTCTCAGCTGAACTCCTTCAGATATGTATTATCAGCTGCTTGTCGAATAGGCAGCTGTGCTCCTGGGGATGAGCTTCTGCTTCTGGGACTGTTGACAGAAGCACCTTGTTTCTCTTCTCCATGGTATATTATCCTCCAGCTGGTTAACATGGGCTTTATTCATAAAGATGGTAGCATTCTGAAAAAGAAACAGAAGTATTCAAAACATTTTGAGCATAGGCCCCAAACTAGCACACTGTCACGTTCAAAGGTTTCTACGGCCCTTAGCAAGTAAGGCCAGCCAGACCTACAATTTGAAGAGCAGATCTGGATCTCAATGGCACCAGCTATAAAAGCTCCTCTCTATGGGCATGATATATAGGAGGGATCAAATATTGCGACAATTTTTGCAATCAGTATTATTCTGCCTTTTTTTTACATATGTGGTCTATACAACTTTTTTTTTCCTTGGGACAGAGTTTCACTCTTGTCACCCAGGCTGAAGTACACTTGGTGCGTTCTCAGCTCACTGTAACCGCCACCTCTCAGGTTCAAGCAATTTTCCTGCCTCAGCATCATAAGTAGCTGGTATTACAGGCACTTGCCACCACACTTGGCCTCTTTTTTTTTGGCAATTTTAGTAGAGACATTGTTTCTCCAAGTTGGCCAGGCCGGTCTTGAACTCCTGACCTCAGGTGATCTGCCTGCCTCGGCCTCCCAAAGTGCTGGGATTATGCAGTACCCGGCCTAATTTATTTATTTATTTAGGCTCAATTTGGATAGACCAAAATTTTGTATATTGATATCACTTTGTCACCATGAAAAATGTACTTATTTAGTCTCCAATCCCAGCGTGAAATAGAACTATGGTTTGGAAATAAGAAACAAGAACTTCTGGTTATTACAATTATCTTATTTATTTATTTATTTACTTATTTTTGAGACGGAGTTTCACTCTTGTTACCCAGGCTGGAGTGCAATGGCGCGATCTCGGCTCACCGCAACCTCTGCCTCCTGCGTTCAGGCAATTCTCCTGCCTCAGCCTCCTGAGTAGCTGGGATTACAGGCACGCAGCACCATGCCCAGCTCACTTTCTGTATTTTTAGTAGAGACGGGGTTTCACCATGTTGACCACGATGGTCTCGATCTATTGACCTCGTGATCCACCTGCCTCAGCCTCCCAAAGTGCTGGGATTACATGTTTGAGCCACTGCACCTGGCTTATCTTATCTTATTTATTTATTTTTTCAGACAGAGCCTCACTCTGTTGACCAGTCTGGAGTGCAGTGGTGCAACCTCAGCTCACTGCAACTTCTGCTTCCCATGTTCAAGAGGTTCTCCTGCCTCAGCCTCCTAAGTAGGTGGATTACATGTGTGTGCCATCATGCCCAGCTAATTTTTGTATTTTTAGTAGAGACAGGGTTTCCCATGTTGGTCAGACTGCTCTCAAACTCCTGACCTCGTGATCCACCCACCTCAGCCTCCAAAAGTGCTGGGAGTACAGGCGTGAGGCACTGGGCCCGGCCTATCTTATCAATTTTTTTTTTTTTTTTTTTTTTTTTTTTTTTTTTTTTTTATGAGAGAGTTTCACTCGTTACCCAGGCTGGAGTGCAATGGTGCGATCTCGGCTCACCGCAACCTCTGCCTCCTGGGCTCAGGCAATTCTCCTGCCTCAGCCTCCTGAGTAGCTGGGATTACAGGCACGCGCCACCATGCCCAGCTAATAGAGACGGGGTTTCACCATGTTGACCAGGATGGTCTCGATCTCTTGACCTCGTGATCCACCCGCCTCGGCCTCCCAAAGTGCAGGGATTACAGGATTGAGCCACCACGCCCGGCCGGCCTATCTTATCAATTTTTAAAGGGTTAGAGTAGAAGGCAGGGCGAGGTGGCTCAGATATGCCACTGCATATCTGAAAATGTACTTTGCCATAATACATAAAAGCATTTCTGCATTTAGTAATATCAGACTTCAGTAGAAGAGAATACATAATCAAGTGGATAGGCCTTCCAATGACTACCTTATAAGGGCCAACATCTTTTTTCCATTCTAAGTGAATCTTATTGTCATCAAACTGTAGTTACAAAAGGAATCCTGTAAATTAATTAGCTTTGCTCAATTTTATTGTATCTGCAATACTGTAATTAACAAGTTTTACAACTTGTCTAGTGAAATAAGTTTGTTTATTTATTTATCTATTTATTTTCTGAGACAGTCACTCTTGTTGCCCAGACTAGAATGCAATGGTATGATCTCAGTTCACTGCAACCTCCACCTCCTGAGTTGAAGCAGTTCTCCTGCCTTAGCCTCCCAAGTAGCTGATATTACAGGTGCCTGCTACCACACCCATCTAAGCTTTTGTATTTTTACTAGAGACAGGAT